GAGTCTGTCATATGATAAGCCACAAATCTAAGACGCTATTTGTAATCAGTGCTCTGTGACAGATAAAAATGTTCCATCCTACTTTCAGATACTGTATGGCTACAGAATTAAATCAAAGAAATAACTTGATGGAGGCACCTGGCTTGCTCAGTTGTTTAAGCATCCAACTTCAGCTCAGGTCATGATCTCACAGTCTGTGAGTTCTAGCTCCATGTCGGGCTCTGTGCTGACAGCTCAGAGCCTGGAGCCTGCTGCGGATTCTATGTGTTTTTCTCTCTCTCTGCCCCTCCTCTGTTCATGCTCTATCTCTCTCTCTCTCTCTTGAAAATAAATAAACATTAAAAAATTTAAAAAAAGAAATAACTACATGTATTAAAGAGGACAATTTATTTCCATTTTAGAGTACGTGACTGATTATACATTTAGAAAGGGGGCATTACTTCTTTTCAGAGAGGTAGAATTTGATTCTAATTTTTTAAAGTTTATGTATTTTTCAGAGAGAGAGCAAGAGAGCGAGAGAGAGAAAGAATTAATGGGAGAGGGGCAGAGAGAGAGAGGAGGACAGAGGATCTGAAGCAGGCTCTGTGTTCACAGCAGAGACCCAGATGCAGGGCTTGAATTCATGAACTCTGAGATCGCAACCTGAGCTGAAGTCAGCCCTTAACTAACTAAGCCACCCAGGTGCCCCAAATTTGACTTTAATAAGGAGGTATACAGCAGGGGAAGACTTTGCATTAAAAAATATAATATCAGTTCTGCCATTCTACCTTCTCCTCTCTCAGCTTCCTTCTCTCTTCTATTTCCTTCTCTCCTCTTGTCTCTTCTTCTCTCCTGTGACTTTTCTTACTTTATTGAGTAACTACCGCTTGAAAGGCACTGCATCAAAGAATATTACTGGGTGATCAAAAATAATGAAATCTTGCCATTTGCAACAATGTATCTAGATGGAACTAGAGTGTAAGTGAAATAAGTGTGTCAAAGACAAATATCATATGATTTCATTCATATGTGGAATTTAAGAAACAAAAGAGATGAACATAGGGGAAGGGAAAGAAAAATAAGATAAAAACAGGGAGGGAGGCAAACCATAAGAGACTCTTAACTATAGAGAACAAACTGAGGGTTGCTGGAGGAGAGGTTGGGGGGGGATTGGGCTAAACAGGTGATAGGCATTAAGGAGGGCACTTGTTGGGATAAGCAGTGGGTGTTATACATAAGCGATGAATCACTAAATTCTACCCCTGAAACCAGTACTACACTATATGTTAATTAACTTGAATTTAAATAAATTTAAAAAAAGAAAGAAAATAAATATATGAATATACTTGCTATTTAATTTTCAGTCAATTAGTTTCTGGCATTTTTCTCTATTTGGAACTAAGAAAGATAACTCTTTACTACGACCTTTCTAGAAATAAAAAAGGTCATATAGACAGTATAAACAATTGATAATAGTTAAATAAATACTGATTTTAGGCTTGTCTGCTTTCTGGGTCTCATAATTAAATGATTCATTGCAGTTAGTGCAAAAGTAAGTACTATAGGGGCACCTGGGTGGCTCAGTGGGTTGAGTCCCACTTCTGGTTTTGGCTCAGGTCATGATCTCACAGTTCATGAGTGCAACTCCCCCATTGGGCTCTGCGCTGACAGAGCAGAGCCTGCTTGGTATTCCCTCTC